TTCATCGAACATGTTGTTCATTCGCAGCCATACTAAGACGTAATGCTTACATGAACCGATTGCTTCCCATAAGAAATTCCAAAAGTAGAAGAAAACTAAAGAAAAAAAAATAGAAAAAGGGGTGCAAATCGAGGACTTCCCAGGAGGTCACCCATCCTAGTACTACTCTCGACAAACCACGCTTCACTGCGGAGTTCTGATGGGATCCGGTGCATTAGTGCTGGTATGATCGCACCCATTGGTCTTTGCATGATAAATCTATACAAGCCACATCTCATTGGATCCGGTGCATTGTTGCCAACATATGATCGTATACGTCATACGTACTAAAACTTAATACTTACTTCAACCGATGACTACCCAAAAAGTTTTCGAAAGAAGAAGAAAAATTTATTTCTCTTTGGAAACCTTACCGAGCGAACATAAACGGCCTTTGATCCAGCTTGTTCCCGTGCCGTTCATAGAACATGTTGTTCATTCGCAGCCATACTAAGACGTAATGCTTACATGAACCGATTGCTTCCCATAGGAAATTCCGAAAGTAGAAGAAAATTAAAAGAATAAAAAAATGAAAAAGGGGTGCAACACGAGGACTTCCCAAAAGGACACCCATAGGTCACCCATCCTAGTATTACTCTCGCCCAAGCACGCTTAACTCCGTAGTTCTGATGAGATCCGGTGCATTAGTGCTGGTATGATCGCACCCATTGGTCTTTGCATGATAAATCTATACAAGCCACATCTCATTGGATCCGGTGCATTGTTGCCAACATATGATCGTATACGTCATACGTACTAAGACTTAATACTTACTTCAACCGATGACTACCCAAAAAGTTTTCGAAAGAAGAAGAAAAATTTATTTCTCTTTGGAAACCTTACCGAGCGAACGTAAACGGCCTTTGATCCAGCTTGTTCGCGTGCCGTTCATCGAACATGTTGTTCATTCGCAGCCATACTAAGACGTAATGCTTACATGAACCGATTGCTTCCCATAAGAAATTCCGAAAGTAGAAGAAAATTAAAAGAAAAAAATGAAAAGGGTGCAACACGAGGACTTCCCAGGAGGTCACCAATCCTAGTACTACTCTCG